CTAGTAGCTTCTTGTTCCTAGTAGTAAGGCCAGGAGCCCCTAGTAGCGTCCTTTGTTGTTGCGTCCTTTGTTGTCGTAGCGTCCATGGTCAACCGTCCTTCGGCCACTTTGCTTCTGTACTTGGCCGACCGGCCGAGTCCATCAAAACCTGGGCATCCCGAACGGTGGCGGCCAAACCTGGGAACTCCGACAATGGCATCCTGGCAAATGGGAATGGCCACCAGGTCCATCAAACAGCGTTGGGAAGAAACATTTCTTCACTAGCCGACTACCCCTCCCTCATGGCGTGTCTGCAAAGATGGATGATCTCTGTTCATGTCAGAAGCTCCAGGACTGAGTTTCAGCTGATATTTGCTGAACACATCGAAGCCCCCTCCCCAGACTTCGGCAAACCTTCCCTTGAAATCGGGTTTAGCAGTGAGGAGGGGCGTAAATCTTCTTTCGTCTCGGACACCTGACCTGACCCAGTCAAACAAGGCGGGTGTTGCTCCATCATCTCTTCGTGAACATGCTGTTTCTGCACCTGGCACACAGGGCTCTCAGACTCAAGCTCTCTGCCCATGTCTCTCCCATTCTCCTTTTGCTTTCTGGCCCGACCTCCCGCCCTCCCTACTTAATTAAGGGTAAGGGTGACCAGTTCCCTAATTACTAGTAACTGGACGCAGGATAGCTCACGCTTCTTCAAGGAAGCTCCCCGCCTTCCTTGAAGAAGCGCTCGCACTAATGATTTGGCTTCTAGATCCTTCTAGATCTTTAGGGAAACTACTAGCGATGGCCTCCACCCTGGTTGCGATAGCCTGCAACCTACTAGCGATTTTAGGGAAACTTAATGAAGAAAACTGGTGAAGGGTCCTTGAGTCCTTGTGATCCCTGAGATCCTCGTGCCTGCTCTTGCAGTTTTGCCACTCGGTCCTGCAACTTGTGCATCTTGTTGTAGTAGAACCTTGCATCGAAGATGTCAAGGTCCACTCATCGATGGCTCTTTGGATTGCCAAGGCTAGCACATCCAAAACCGATGAAGGCTATAGCTCCCATTTTCTCTTCCTTTTTTCAGTAGGGGCTCCTGGCCTTACTAGATCTCCTAGGAACAAGAACGCTACTAGGAACAAGTGCATCGCTTCTAGTAACAAGTGCCTTACTACTAGTAACAAGAACGCTAGTAGAAACAATGACCGCCTTGGAGGTCCCCATTCGAGCCATGGAGTCGCTAGGCTCCATATGGCTCGGCTTCAGGGTCCCCGGCTCGGCTTTGGTCAAGGAGACCTTCACAGCGCAGGGACCCAAAGGCTTTGGTTGGAGCATCCTTCCTGCTATTTTTCTGCTCCTACTCAATGAATTAGGCGCCTACTTATTTATATAAGGGAGAAGTTTGCTTCTAGTTTCAGGCTTCGGGTTTTGGTGTGACTCGGACGGACTGAGGGCACTTGGGTATCATTCAGTCCGACTATGCTCGACTCATTCTTAAGCGGAAGACTCTTGACTATCGTTGCCTCAAAATGGAAGTCTTCATACCTGTGTCGGGTCATTCTCCTGCAGTTCGGCCTTGCATGCATATTCCTCCAGTACCAAGCGGCATTCTTGAACTTGGGCCTTGCATGTGAAAAGATATCGAGACAGAATCAAGCATTCAACAGTTGAAGAATTCATCATGGCTTCACTACTTCTTGGCCCGACCTCAAAAGACTCAATCAAGAAGAAGACTCGTGTTGTCCAAGTCTTTTCTTAGTCTCTTCAAGAAGTAATGCTCCTTACCATCAGTGACCTATAGCTGCTATAGCTTCTCTTTACTAAAAAGGCAATGCAGGAGCAAGTGCATCGCTAGTAGTAACAAGAAGCTACTAGTAACAAGTGCATCGCTACTAGTATCAAGGGCATGACTAGTAGCTAGAAGCGACTAGTGGCAAGGGCATTACATGCAACAAGGTTCAGGCCGACAGTATCTTGGCTTTCTCCGCGATGCGGATGTTGAACTTGCCACGGAGGTCCTCACGGCTCTAAAAAGGAAGATTGCAAGGATCACTTTGCTTCCACAAGAAAGGAAACGGAAAAGAAGAGTCTAAAGTTTAAAGAGTCTACAGAAGTAAAGCAAAAGCAAGGTGGAAGAAATCCAACCATTGATTGAACTCCCCATGCATCTACGGAAGGGTAGAAATGCCTTTCAATTGCAGGTTTAGCGTCTCGGCATGTAAGTTAGAGCACAGTGCTCAGACAATGATTGGTGAAATGCGTTTTTGCAAAGGAGAGAAAGATTTATCTTACAAATGCAAAAAGAATTACTTTCACTCCCTCTCGAACCAAAAGCATCTCAGTCACAATACCATTCAATTTTACCAAGAGTAACAAGAAGCTAGTAGAAACAAGTGCATCGCTACTAGTAACAGGTGCCTTACTAGTAGTAACAAGAAGCTCCCAGTAGCGATAATTTTACCAAGAGAACGTGAGCAGCAAACGTCGGCGCCGTCGGTGCGGTCGGCGCTGTCGGTGCCCTGGTTGGTACCTTCCGGAAGATGTTCTGCCACTTCTCGGCACGATCCCGAAGGTCAGGAACCGCGTGGATGCATTCGTACCTCGAAACGCATGTTGTGTACCATATCTGCTACTAGGTTGGAGGCCATCGCCATTAGGAAACATAATAAGTAGTGTGAGGTTGTTTCAAAACTCTCCATCGCCGCTTGCATCCGAAGGAAACAGCAAAGTGAGAAAACCTGTGGTATCAAAGAAACACATCTTGTCTAAGTAGGCGCTTCTCCTTATCGTGTCCAAATCCTCTCTCTCTAGCTTGTAGCATGTCTGGGTGCCCAGGCCAACGCTTGAGCAAGGCACGAGGCACCTGCGAAGGGTGCAGGGAAGTGGCGAAGCGATTCTTCGTTTCTTTCTTGATCAAGTACGCTTGTTTCTTCCACTACCACTACCACTACCGCTACGACGACGACGACGACGACGACTGCTACTACTACTTACTGTAGTAAGAAGAGGAGTGAGTGACATCCAAGGCATATGGGCGCAGCTCGCAGCATGGGGTAGCCAAAGAAGTTGTGTAGCACAAATGCACATAAACACATCAACATATCCTGGAAAGAGCGTTGAAAGAGCGGCCTTTGAGTACCGGCAAATCTCTTCCAAGAAAACCACTGGGGATATGCAGTAGTGCGGATTTCCCTGTGACTGCTTGATGTAGACATGTTGAACAGCTGTATATAATCATCATCAATCTGTTGAAAGTAAACAGGCATTTCCAGCCTTTCCCCAAACGATCTGTATCTATTTCGCTTGTTCCTTATCTCCCTTGATGTAGGGACGCGCACAGAGGCCTCTTCCGCGCCTGGTGATAGCGGCTCTCCAAGACCTCGAACATCTGCCGAATCGAAGCCTTGGAGTTCTTGATAGTTGAAGCAGTTTGAATCAGTGAAGGACTAAAAAACAATTGATTGCTTTGTGACTCTAACTTCAGGTGTCAAACATGAATGACACATATCATGATGCAGTTGGGGTTTCATGCATCTTCACTTTCGTCAAAGTGGTGTTGCGCCAACACTTTCGCCGAGGCACGAGGACCGGCGCGGTTTCCACCAAGAAGGGGTCCAAACTCTTCATCGCCTGCGAAACGTGGCGTCTGGTGGCTCACCGATGAGTGCTGATGCCAGCTGGACCACAGAGTGCGGATTCCCCACACACTTTTGCTCTATGCTAGTTACTAGTAGCGTCCTTGTTCCTAGTAGCGATGCCCTTTGTTCCTAGTAGCGTCCTTGCTCCTAGTAGCGATGCCAGGAGCCCCTAGTAGCTTCTTGTTCTTAATTAGTAGCACATGGCACACTCTTGGCACGAATGTGAACGTGCCTTACCCTTTCGATTCCGATCCTTTTCAGCTAACTATCAATATGGAAAAGGTTTGGCAGCTGCATTGAACTGTAGGAAACACGGAAAAAGAACCTTACGCAACCCGTCTGGGCTGTCTTGGCCTTAGAGACTACAAACATGGCTGTCTTGATTGAGCTGTAACTTACACACTTTCCTTTTTTGTTCCTGTCCTTTCGGTCCTTTCGCCCTGTCTTCCTTTCTGCATTGCTTTCTCTTTGGCGTATCTGTGACAGGCTGCCTGGATGGTGCTGTGGAGCTCGTCCGGGTGCTTGGGCGACATGATGATTTCACCACTCTTCACCTCGCAGACCGAAACGACACCGCAAGGGACGGCACGGGGACGGCAGGATGTGGACGTTGACTGGTCGATTTGAGATGAGGTTTCACCGCGTCAGTGTTGCGGGTGCACATACTCCAGCCATTTGGAGTTTGAACTTCCCTTAACTCCTTGAACTTCTCACGATGTACCGACCCATGGTCTTTGATTTTGGATCTGGCTTTGCATCGGAACCGCTAGGGCCTGTAGGGAGTGCTTCAGCTTGGCCTCAGGCGCGCTGCGAGGTGCTGCAAAAGCATTGGCCCAGAGTCGGTGTGTTTTGGCCTCCTGTTTTGGCCTCCTGTTCTTTACTTTGCTTTTAAATCAAAAGGATGATCATCCCTCTTCCCATCCCTGCGCGGAAGAGAAGACGTCACCAGATTTCTGTGGGCAAAGAAGACCTTTGTTGCGCTGAGAAATGGTGTCAGTTTCATTGGAGCGCACTATGGTGCGAGGCAAAACAACCTCAACCCTAAGTGCCATTTGTTTAAATAAGCTCCAACCTAATAGCAAAAGGAACCTAAGTGCAATGGCCTCCAAGCTAGTATCCGAAACACTGAGAATTCCAAGAACCGAGCACAGGCATCTTCCAGCCATCGTTGAACCACGCCCATAAGCCTTGCGCACAAAAGGTGGCTACCAATGCCAAACTGCAATAAGGAGACGTTGTTGGGAAATTGACTTTGGCCTAGTGCAACAGTCGTGGAGTTGCACTTAGGGTGCATAGTGTCTGGAAAGCATTCTTGTGAGGACTCGCAAGGGGAAAGGAAAGCCTGGTAGCATGGAGTGTAGCAGGAAGTGAGTCAAGAAAGCCCAACAAACGCATCAACAGAATCAGTTGTAGCGTGAATTCAGTGCTTTTATCACTTGGCAATGAGGTAGTGCTACAACTTTTGCAACGGGTGAAACTACCAGCTGCTGCTGCATTTCATAGATGCGGGGAAGTCTATGGGTTTTGCAAACCAAGGGCATCACAGAAATCCATTCTTCCGACCTTTTTCATCAATCCAACCATTGGCTCTTTGTTTCTTTGTTCCTAGTAGCATCCTTGTTCCTAGTAGTAATGCCGTGCTACTAGTAGCTTCTTGCTCCTAGTAGCGATGCCCTTCATTCCTAGTAGCGTCCTTCCGTCATTTTCTTGGCCCGCCTAAGGCGACAGCAGGCACACATGGCCAGCAGAGCCTGGCACAAAGACAGCACCGCTCTGTGAATGAGAACCCTGATGCTGTGTGGATGAGAACGTCTACAACTTCCTTGATCGCACTCAAGAGCGACATGGTCCGTGACAGAGGCTCTGCTCAGTCCGTTGCCAAGCAATTGTCGACTTTCTTTGAACATGCTTGGCATCTCTGAATCTCTGGGACCGACACACATCTTGCATACTCAGTGTGGCCTACGAAAAAAACAAAAACCAGACCTGTGACCTACGACCAAAAGGGTAGGGTTCACAGGTTTGTGACCGGTTCAGTGTATACTATTAGATTGGAGGCCATCACTTCTAGGCTTTTCAATTGCGATGGTCCAAGGTTTGCCGAAGTGAAAATACTTGTCCCGTTGGCAACTAGCGCCTTGCGCAAGGGAGTGACGTCGACCACCTGGCATTGTGTTTCTGCGACCAGGCGGGGGTGCAAATTGTTTGCTATCTTCTCTTTTCTCTTTTCTCTCTTCTCTTTTCTTTTAGACCTTTCATTCTTCTTGTGTCTTTCTTCCTTTCCTTGCACTCCAACATACGAATACGGGAGGATATGATAGTTCATGTTGGTGGATCCCCGTGCGCTTCAGGGGTTGACGGTTTTCACATAGGAGCAGATTCTTTTTAAGTTGGTCTCACAATCACGTGAAGTTACTAGTAACAAGGGCATATGCGGCATTACGACTAGTAGCAAGGATGCTACTAGTAGCTCCTGGCCTTACTACTAGTAACAAGAAGCTACTAGTAACAAGGGCATTACATGCGACATGCTCTTCAGCGGCAACGTGCACGCTCTGAACGAAAAGACGAAAGACAAACGAAAGGCAGCAGGACAAAAAGCCCTAGGTGGCGTTCTGGCAAATCCTGGCATCATCCGCTTAACGCCGACGCCAACAACAAGGCGTATGGGAGCATCGAGGAAACCGTGAGTAAGTTTTAGGGCTTGAGCAAGTGACCTCCAAAATCAAAGTGGCGAAAGAAACGGGTTGAATCTTGCTTTGGCCATTGTCAGTTGAATTCCCGTGGCCATTGCTATTAGGTTAGAGAGCATCGCTACTGGGTCGGAGGCCATCGCTATTAGGTTGGAGGTTGGAGGCCATCGCCATTCTGTGACATCCTGCGACCCCATGATAAGATCACAAGGTACGATAGTTGCCTTTCAGGAAAGCGGGGAAAGGCATTGGCGTGCATTGCCATACAATGCTGCGTTACTTCTACGAACTAAGCATGCTTAACAATGAACGACTTTCAGGTGTTCCATCTTGGCTTCCGAGAACTTCTTGTCCTTCACATACTTGTAACAAGAAGCTATTAGTGAAGCTACTAGGAACAAGTGCATCGCTTCTAGTAACAAGTGCTTCACACACTTCAATATATGTGGGTCCTCCGTTTCGTTGAGCTCCTTGGCCCAGCCATCCTGGGAACACCGGCAGATCCAGGAGAGGTAAGGATGATCGAGATTACGGAGACATTCCGCCAATCTTCCCAGGATCCTAGATTCCACAGAAAACCATCTCTCAAAACGAAAGTAAAGGACGCTACTAGGGCTCCTGGCATCGCTTCTAGTAACAAGTGCCTTACTACTAGTAACAAGAAGCTAGTAGGAACAAGTGCATCACTTCTAGTAACAAGTGCCTTACTACTAGTAACAAGAAGCTAGTAGAAACAAGAAGCTAGTAGGAACAAGTGCATCACTTCTAGTAACAAGTGCCTTACTACTAGTAACAAGAAGCTAGTAGAAACAAGAAGCTAGTAGGAACAAGTGCCTTACTACTAGTAACAAGAAGCTAGTAGAAACAGTTCGGAAGGTTCTTCCAAAACGGTCGGCCCAGGCACGATGCGATCTAAGTGTTCCCGGAGTTCATCGATGGACCTGAGAAGGATCTCACCGGTGCAGATGAAGGACGCCAGAGCCGGAGCTAATGTGCCCTACAGGAAAGAGGAGGAGCATTTCAAGCACTTTGATGGTTTGAATCCTATGGATGCAGGTCAAAAGCTTGCCAAACATAGAAAAATGACAAGCAAACCGCAAAGGATGTGGATCAATAGATTCTGCAAACGATCTTCTCAGTGGCTTACCAAAAGTCCCCTTGAGAGGGTTCAAGAAACTCATCCTGATAAAATGCTGTTCAGTCTCCTCAGTTTGCTTAACAAAGCCCATCTCGAGCAGAACAAATGGTCTTTTTGCTTTGCGTCCTTCCGGATAGTGTCTTGAGGCTCGGAGCCACGGGTGGCGGGCCAAACTTTTGGGCATTTGGGTTGCTTGATGAAAAGAAAAGCTGAAAAAATGGCAAGGCCCCCTTCGATTCTCTTTAAAATGGCAGGGACCTTGCCTTCTTCATTCTCTATCTTTAAGACCCTACCGAAAGCCTCAATCACACGACATCAGCTGCAGGGAGCTGCCTACAAGTCTTTCGGCAAATGAGTCGAAAACCCAAATGGGATTCGCAGTTGAAGGATGATCATCTGGCCCAAATGAACCACATCCCAAAGATTCCGAGCTGGAGATCTGGAAGATTGTGCAAAAGGGCAAAAGATTCTGAGAAGTTGTGCAGCCGTTGTGCAGCCTATGAGTTTGTATAGTTGTTGCACGGTGTCGCTCGGATGCCGTTTTATGCAGCTTCATGCAGCTTCAAAAAACAGTGCAGCAAGAGGAGTCTCTGGTTTGGTTGTAGACTTTTGAACTGGTGTAGACTCCATATTTTGTTGGTGAACTTCGGACCTAGAGTTGTTTGGCATCTCAGCATGTTGCCGATTGAGCCCACACCCACCGTGGCACCGAGCCACCAATTCTGTGCATGCGCACGCATGCGGTCTCGCACGTTCCGCTTTAGATTAGTTAGTTGGTCAGTTGGTACTTGCAGAGATCTTGGCAGGTCATAGTTCGGAAACAGAGTCAAAACAACATCCGACGATCGCGGATGGGTATGCTGACTTCGATACTATGACAAAGATAAGCTCCACCTGCCACAAGCTCTGCGACCTGCGCGCCTGGACGCGCGCCCCGCAGGCGCTTCCTTTACAGAGTGATCTGCCGGAATTAACTCCATGCTGCTTGGCTACTAGGAACAAGTGCATCGCTAGTAGTAACAAGTGCCACGCTACTAGGAACAG